TAACGAAGTTAATAAGGAACCGAAACGATCGACCCGATTGATTGGAAAAATATTTATTTAGTATCATATAATATACATATTAAGGCGTTTTACATATTTACATAGGTATTAAAATTGCAAACGTTGAAGTTAATATTCCGTGGTTCTAATTTCAAAATTATAAATTGCAATAATAATTATAATTTAGTATCACATACACATATATGTATTAAAGACGTTTGCAAAAAAAAAAATTAATATTATTTACATAGGTATTAAAGTTCTTAACGATGGAGTTAATATGTCGTGGTTCTAATTTTAAAATTATAAATTTCAATTAAACAATTATTATTATTTAAATTTTTATTTATAAATAACAATTTTGTTCATTTGAAAAGATTTGCTGGAGTAAATCTCTTATTAGACATAAGCTCACCTTTGTACATTACATTTAAAATGATTTGTTCTTATCATTATGTTGTGTACAATAAAGAATGAAAAAGTAATGTAGGATAACGTATTTTCAAATATTCGGTCATTTATTTTTCAGTAAATAATACAATATATGCACATATTCTTTATCAAAAAGCAATATTCTCAAGTGATGTATCGATCGTACGGAAATGTCGCCAATAATAAAACAGTTATACCAAATTGAAAGCAATTTTATCCTTAGCTTTCCGTGTCAGAGACAAAACCAATAAATTTGTCGATTATTTATTAAGTCTTCTCTATGTTTAGCATGACTAGCTTGTTTGCTCTTATTTTTATTATTGTTATACTAAAACTATAGATGACATTAATAGATTAAAAAAGAAAGTAATAGGTTTAGGCGTAGTTCTAAATAAATGAATTTTTGTACTTCTAGTACAGAATAACACTTGAATTGTCTTTATAATTTTTTTATAATTGATCAATATAGGATTTATACCTAAATTGCAGTTATTTAGGAATTTAAAAAAATGGATTGTTAGTTCTTTACGCGTACGCGGTACGCGGGCGATGAAATATCCTATCTATATTGAATATATAAAATTACACTTAATGTATAAATATATATATTATAGACAGAAATAGGAGTAAACTGTGGGATCCTTGTTTAAGCCGCTAAATATTTTCATCTTTTTCAAATTTATATTCTCTTATCTGATATGCTTCAAATACCTATTATAACATCGGACACTATTGACCATATAATTTGGCCGAGACACACATAGGAGTACTGCAAATGTAACTGGCCACTTATAATTATGCGAAACATAACTGGCCACTAATAAAAATGAATCCCTTTGTGTTCTTTAAAAAATATATTCGTCATTTGTTATTATTAAAAAATACTTATTCCTGCTTTGCATTTAAATATATTCTCCCGCTTTTTACGAAAATTTATATTTTTTAATATGCCTTTAAGCGAATTTCATGAATATACCGCCATATAAATAATTGAACTTCAGAACTGTCCCGTGTGGTGTCCATTTATATTTTACACAAAGAAATTGTCTCCGTATCCTGCAGTCGGCGGCTTTCACCAGTTTGGTTCCAGTGTGTGTGCTATTTTTAATAGCAAGCTGGATTGGATTATAGGTCAGTGAGTATCGTTGTTTTATGGGTATTTGTTGTTGCGTAGTTTAGAGACTGTACAAGTATTGTGGAACAGCCTTGTAATTTCGGTTAAGTTCCTGTATGGAGTGGCTATTTACACGCTGTTTCACCAATCCTAAAAGGTATATACAATCTTCAAATCTTCCAGTCAAGTAAGCATTAAATCTTAGTAGTTAGTTACTCGCCAACAGCAAGTAACTCATCCTTTGCAATTCCGTCATGATTCGCCCACTAATTGTTTATCCAGTAATTTGGTACGGGTAATTATAATTTTAAAATTAATTAAACGTGCACGGCAATACAATGCATTGTTTGAATAAATTTGGAATTTTGTAAGCCATGGCGGGAAGTTGGTAGCGGATTTGCTTCCATGAAATCGCTTTTGAATAGACATCGGGAGTGACGAAGCTAAACTGAATGCCTGCAAGCTTTGAACGGTGATAGTGAACCATCATTGTTTTGGTTTCAGACGCTTCTTGATGCTATTTAAAAGAGATTTTGTTACTAAACTTTTAGGTGGGTATCTAAAAAGATTGAACCTGTTTTTTTTATGGGTGAAAATGGTACGGTAACCTCGCCTGCGCTAACGAGATACGCTGGCGGAGCACCAGTGAAGGGTGATAGATGAGAGTGAAAACAGGTTAGTTAGCCCACCATGATGAATTCATCCGTAATTAACCATGATAGTTTCCAGGGAGAACTGCGAGGAGGTCGACCTTGTTGGATATATTGCTAGCAATGGGATCCTCAGTCTCCATTACTAACAATCCCATTCTTCTAGATTAAACCTGTTATATATATATATATATATAAACTAAAACCTGTAAACTTATTAAATCTCACTTATATTATTACTTATATCACTATCTTACTTTTATGCAGATTCATAATTTCAGATGTTAATTGTTCACTGTTTATGCTCAGCAGCCTTTCCGATAAAGGGAATTTTGCCAGTAGTTGGTACGCTTGGTAGGCGGGTTGGCAACCACAGTTACGTTTTTAGAGATATTTTAAGAGGGATCCTGCTGTCCATCCTTTTACTATTGTATTCCCTTAGTTGTCTCTTACGATGCCCACAGGAAAGGAAATGGTGGTTTATTCTTAGCCGGGACCATACAGCAATTTTCCGTCGGTGTCGTAAGAGGTGACTAAGGAAGGGCGAGGGATAGGCAGCAGCGTCCCTCCCAAAACATCTCAAAAGCCTGACTGCGATTGTCAATCCGCCTGCCAAGCGTGGTAACTACTGGCAAAACTCCTCCAAGGAAAGGCTTATATTCAGCAGTGGACAGTTAAAGGCTGATATGATAATGATGATGTATGGGGGAATAAAAAAAATAATTTTAATGATTCAGCTTTGCTTCCTGTCGTTATTTTTAATTTTTTTTTATTTCATTCTTATATATGGTTTTATTATATTTTTTCACTAAACAGTCTTCGAGTATCTTCACTTTTACCGTACCCAAAGTTTGATAATTATCTACTTTTATGTGTGTATAAAATTTAAATAAATACAAAATATGTAACTTACCAACATTGAGCTCTTTGAGCAAGAAAATCGGGTCGACCTCCATGCAGTTCTCTCTAAAAACCATCGTGATTAATCGTTGTTGAATTGGTCACTATTGGTCAACTGACTTGCCTTCAAGCTCACCTGAACACTCGTCACTGGTGCCCCGCCAGCATATACTGATAGCGCAGGCGGGGGCACCATTACATTTTCACCCATTAAAAAATATTTTAACTTTAATACTCATTCTAGTTTTGGTATCGGGGTCGGTTATTACCGTTTTTATTACCATGTAAAACCGAAGGCCACCGTGATCAATTAGAAAATACCTACTGTATTTGATAGTGTCGAAATTGCTAAGTAATTTAACACGTCAATCACCAGCGATGATTATGGATATTAAAGTGATCGATCAAGATTTACTACGCGACTGCCCAAAAAGGAGGAGTGTTTCTTTATTTTATCATAACTAGTGGTCGTCCAGTGATCGAAATTTGACCATAAAATATATTGTAAAAATGGATTTATTACGGTTATGATTGACATTCAGTAAGACTATAGACAAATAATTTTAAATATAAACAATATTAATCAGTTTTTAATTCGACTACTGACTTTAACAATAAACAAAAGAGTATATATATGCGTGTGTGTGTGTCAAATACATGGTAGCGAGGGTATTTTATCTTTTATGTTAATTTAATGTATTTCTATGCGTAATTTTAAATAAAATTTACCATTCTGTACTCCTTCTTTATATAAACTATAAGTGTGCGAAATTTCATGCTCCTTCGTTCGCGCAATTTTCGTAAAAAAGGGGTACAAAGTTTTTACTTCACGTATTAATATATAGATTTTAAAATTCCGAAACAGATTTGGTTTTATGGGGTATAATTTTTTTATGGGTGAGCATGGAATAGTACTGGGGACTAGCCCTATTGCTAGCGGTATACGTCGTTAAGTTACTCCACGCGGTTCCTCCTGGAAACCATAGTGATTAATTCTCGTCGTACTCGTCATGATAGGTTAACTGATCTGCCTTTAGACACCCCTATATATACCGATAGTACAGGCGGGGATCATTATCATCCCATAAAATATCCGTATATCAAATTTCGTTCAAATCCGTTAAGCTATTTTTCCGTTAAGCAGTAACTAACCTCCATTCATACATACATCTCCCCATACTTTCACATTTGTAATGGCAGGATTTAATTCAAATATATGGGGAAATGTATAATAAAAATACATAATAGATAACAAAAACCCTAATAACTTGAAAAACTTTCACGTTAGTAATAGGTTATTTGTAGAATAGCAAGATTATTTTTGTGGTGAAAATAAACTTTCTAAATGAATATATTATAGATGTACGTATTATACATAATTACTGTAGGTATATTGATTTTATTGTAATAAGTAGATATGTTTTATAGAAGATTAAATACCTATACACTTTTTGGGACAGCTGTCCTTCCCCCCTCTGCGGCGTGTCACTGACCTTGATTTATGACGTCTAGAGTATTTCTAGTTTTATTAGTCACTAGCTTTGTCTCTAATTTAGTTAGTATTATTGCTACTATTACCGCTTACTAATATCAACTATTACTACTATCTTCTACTATTACTACTATTTACTACTACTACCTACTACTATAACCAAATGTTACTACTACTACAACTACTACCACTATACCATCAACTACTATTAGTAGTAACTAATATTTAGTAAGTATTGATAGGTACTAACTTCATGTTTTCTTTTTTTCCACTGGTGTATTATTTTTCCATAGACGTCACTTTATGGTAATATTGGTTTGAAAAGAAGTAAGCAATAACACATTGTATTCTTACTTTGCCACCATACGGAGAATTTTTAATGGAAATTAACAACAACAAGAAACAACAATAATTCCATTAAACGAATTACGACTATATTTATTTTTAAATATCCATAATTAACATTAATATTTTAGATATGGCAATATTATCTTCATTAACACGAATAGGTACACATTTATGGATTATCTATGATATGATTATAAGTAATACGAACGGACAGACACATTTACGGTTTATCTATGATAAATATATATTATAACATCGTAGGTACATCAGTAAAGGTACATTGAGAATTCGAAACACGGGCAATGAACTGGGTCCGTTGGGCGTTTTGTGAAGTCCATTGTGAGTTCCAGTATATATTTAATATTTTTGATATTTTACACATTTATGGCTTTTCTATGATAAATATATATTATAAAATCGTAAGTACATCAATAAAGGTACATTGAGAATTCGAAACATGGGCAATAAACTGTATCCGTTGGGCGTTTTGTGGAGTCCGTTGTGAGTTCCGGTATATATTTAATATTGTTGACATTTTACGCTTGAACCTCTTCTTTAAACCTCTTCTTTAGCCTTCAAAAAGTAGGTTAGTAAATCAATTGGAAGTGGGAACACAATGGTCGAATTCTTCTCAGCCGATATAGTATTCAATGTCTGAAAAGCAAGTTATACATATTGATTATTCATATTAAACAATTTTCGAACAGCCGGCATTATTACGCACTAATCTTGAGCACCAACCATGAGAATGTCCGAAATATCGTAGTCGAATTAAATCATATTTATACATAAATTAATCACGAAATACGTGTGAAAATCGTGAAAGAAATATTAAAACGAAATATACAATATCAGTAATTCGTACATCATTACAGTGTTTATAAGTTTCAATATATCTAGCTTTAACTGTTTACTGTTTGACACAAACCCTGGAGGGCTTTACCAATAGTTGCCACGCTTGATATGCGGATTGGCAGCCACAGTTAGGTCTTAGAGACGTTTTAAGAGGGACGCTGACGCTCATCCCTCGCCCTCCCTTAGTCGCCTCTTATAACACCCACGAGAAAGGAACGGGTAACCTATTCTATACGGTTTTCGTAAGTTTATAATGAATGTCATGCTCCATCTATGGGGTTCTGAGGCTTCGGTATAAACATGTTTCGTTTCATCGTATATTGAGTCGGATGTTCAAATTAAAAAAATTAAATGCTTTTCGTGGTAGAAGGTAAATGAACGAGTATGCTCTTGAAACACTTTTAGGTTTTGTTACTTCTTACTAGGGTAATGTTAGCACATACTGGTTTCAAAAGTTTCTAAGTTTCTGATGAGCTAGCTGCGTATTGTGACTTCGACTGCAAAAGCATAATTTAGCACATAGGATTCTTTATGACTAAAGAATTCTACGTGCCTAATTAAGACATCACCCAAATTTCTTTATAATTCGTGCTATAGTTTTTGCGTGAAAAAGTAATATCCATCCATCCAACCATTATTTTGTATTTATAATATTATTAATATACATCTACAGACTAGAATTGGAGTAGTTCGCAGTACGTAAATCTAAAAATCAAGTCGTGTCAAAGAATATAATAATAATGATATAATAATGAATATAAATATATATATAATAATAATAATCATCATCATCATTTCAGGCATTGTCTGTCCACTGCTGGACACAGGCCTCCCCTACAGACTGCCATATGGAACGATCCTGAGCCACCTGCATCCCTACTCCCTACAATGCTTTTGAGGTCGTCACTCCATCTAGTGGGGGGTCGCCTTACACTATTAAAATAATAATATGATATAATAATAGAACAGAAATTTCGTAAATAAAGCATTCAAAAACGATTCCAAATTAATAGTATCCGATACTAACTTAATAGCTAACATGGATCTAGTGCGAAGTTAGTATGGGAAGCTTACATTTTTTGTCATTTTTCGACCCATGTTTCATTGGTGAAATTATTCGCTCTCTTTGGTAGAACATTCTCTTCAAAGAATATTAACAGTACTAATTTCACCCACTACATTTATTACTAACGATCCGGCTTGGTTTCACGCGCTGATAATGTTGCTTTTTATAGATATTTTTCTTTAATCAATTAAGAAGTTTTTTCGTTTATCTTTTACAAACAAACATATCGTTCCTTTTTGCAATATTAGTAGGATTACATAAAATAAAAGCATAGAGAAACACAAAATATTCATAATAAATATCGGAAGGTGATGCTATTGTATTACCGTGGGCGAGTCATCATTGTCATTATATATTAAAATCAACATTACGTAAACCAAACCTGAAATGATAAATTGCAGCTACAATACCCAAAGGCGCTATTATGTAAATACATAATTTATTTGCCATAAACCCTTTATAGTTCGCAAGTAAAAGGATTATGTTTGAGTAAAAACAAATATAACCCAATATAAGTTTTCGAATTTCGTATTATAAGCGATCTTATGTTTTGTATAAGTTATGCGATATTTTCTATTGATTTGGATTCTATTGAATTTGTTTGTAATGTTGAGTTTACGTCTTTGATGGTAGGTAGGTACCAGAATTATCTAACTATATTTATTTTTTTCAAAACAGAGTGAAATAGATTTTTAAGCAACTTAGAATGGCATATACTTATAAGTTGACCGGAAAGTGGTAATCCTCGCCTATAAACATGAGCAGCAACCATGTAAATTATATAATATACTGTGGCGTCTATGGTACGGCTAGTGCGTTGCCATTTTGAACTCTGTGGCCATGTCATCATCATTATCATCATATCAGCCTTTATTTGTTCACTGCTGAACATAGGCCTCCCTCATACGGGGGTTTAGCCTGTAGTTGCCATAGTAGCTAACCATTAGGCGGGTTGGCAACGTCAGTTAGGCTTTGGTGATATTTTAAGAGGAACACTGCTGCCCATCCCACGGTCATTTAGTCCGTCATGTAATTAGAAGCATACCTAATTAGCTGAATGTATACTATATATAGCTAATATAGTAGGGAGATGTGGGTTCGAATCTTACCAGATCGAGTTATCGAGAGGTTTTTTTCAAGCTATTAACTACCTGTTTCCCGCGGCTTTACCACTACCTGTTACCCATTGAATCGGAATATAAAGTATGCTATATACAAATGTAAATCTTTTGACCCTTTACACGTATGATTATTAATAGGATTTATATTTACAAAAGCCTCCCAATTGAGAAAGGACAATCTTCAGCAGTGGACAGTGAACGACAGATTTGATGATGAACAGAATTTACGATGATACGCATGCTTTTGTAAGATAGGCACCTACTTGCAAATAACGCAATTGCAGTGCAGCAGGGCTGTCTCCGATCACTTCAGATGCTTCACGTAGAGCCCTTGAGGCTTTCTGTTCCCCTTCAGCGGCGATAACTTTGGCTCGAGCCTCCCTAGCTGCCTCAGCCTCGGCAGCCATAGCACGCTGCAGTTGAACAGGTAGGCGGACGTCTTTGCTGTAAAGTAAACGTGATAAAGTAACAAAAATACAACTGTTTAATGTAACTAGTGTATTTTAAGTACATAATTGATGTTAATTTGTTATATGTTTGACGATTTCTTAAAAAAATTAAAAAAAAAAAATAATTAATGTAGCCAGTGATGCTTGGAACGATCTGAGAATTCTAAAGATATCCCATAAATCCAAATCTGTTCAGATATTTAGAAGTTATAATGGAATACAAAATTCTTACATACGCGTGAACTCTGAAAATATTACACGCCTTTTTTCAGGGAGTCATGCAAAAAAGTAATCCAGTTTGGATTTACAATATTCTGGTACGAATGCGAGTAATCCTCTGATCTCTTCAAAAAAATTATTTTATCTCTCAGTCAGAGAAAACTGAAAGATATTCTTATATTTTCTTTTAATGTCTACATATAGAGTTTATATCTTTTTTTACCATTTTTGATATTGTTTTTATATATTTTACCGATAATTCGTGTTATAGACTATTTCAATAATATTTACTGAAAACGTAAACAAGTTTTGTTAGATTTATTATAGAAATACTATCTAAATGAAATTAGTAACAAATTGAAATATGCAGTTAATATATTAGTAGCTTTTACCCGTGACTTTGTCTGTGTGACTGGTTATCCCATATAATATGTGTATATATAAAATTTCATAGTGGTCAGTTAAGCTGTTAAGGCGTATAAGGTATAAGGTAACAAACAAACAAACGCACTTTTACATTTATAATATTAGTATATTAGTCGACTATCTCGTCGGGTCAGTGACATGTTTGTTTACATTTTCATTAAGTTATATTGGAACAGACTATAATAACAAGTCACGTGTAAGTTTAACTGTAAGTAAACTGTAAATTTTGTTAAAAACAAAATTTATACTTTTGTTAAAACAACTTAATCATAGACATAATATAAGGTTACGTTCCAAAAAATCCGAATTCAAGTGCAGCTAACCAGTTAAGTTTAAAACTGAACTACTGTATCGGTTTTGATACAATTTGTATGGGACAAATCTGTAAGATAAAAAGAAATCCAAATTGGTTTACAACTGACTGACTTATGAGGTAACAGACAAAAAAAATACAACCATATTCAATGTTTCTTGTTCTGCTTTTCTTTTTGATGTCAGTTGAAAAGAAATCTTAAAAATTAAAAATAAATTAAAATAAAATTTTATTTAAATTAAATTAAAATTTAAATCTTAAGAAACAAAACATTCTTAATAATATTATAAATGTGAAAGTCAGTGTGTTTGTTATCTCCTCTCTTAGCGCCTTAATGCCTTAACCAATCACTGAAAATTGGTATATATGGGATAGAAAGAGACACAGGCTACTTTTAATCCCGGTCAGTGAACATATCCCGATCACGCGAATGAAGTCGCGGGTAAAAGCTAGTATTATTATACTAGCTTGTATGTAAATGATTTGTAGGCAAAATTTCGACCAAAAAATATGGGTCGAGTAAAAGCGTCTATCCAATTGATATTATTGCATTCAACAGAAAAAAGATTCTTCTGCGAAAATTTCTCCAATATTCACTAATAGAATTTCTCGCACATGTGTGCGGCTTCCCACGAATGTTCTGTGTGTGATATCATTATGATAGCAAGATTACATAGTCGTTGCATTTCACATAGAACGTAAGTAGGTCAACTTTGACAAAATATAATATACCTATAGGATGACATGGAAATCGTTTTAGCATTTTCACCAAATAAACATGGGTTTTTATGGGTGAAAAAATGGTCACCCCGCCTGCGCTATCAGTATGTAGTCGGGCACCAGTTGCCACTGATGATGGGTGACCACGATAGTCGATCGTAGCGAATTTAATAGGAATTAACCACGGTGGTTTTTAGGAGGAATCGCAAGGAGGCCAATTTACTAGAGTATATTTCTAGCGATAGGGCTGTTAGACCCCATTACAAACAATCTTTTTTCCCCCCCAATAAACAAAGGTTAAAAATGACAAAAATTTTCGAGCCTCTCATATACAAAATGAGTATTAAAAGGAAGGTTTAAAATTGTTTTAGTCGCTTTATTAATTTAAAATGCACGAATTTTTTATAGCAAGATTAGAGTTTATATGTACCATACGAGGTTTGTCCGGAAAGTACGTATAAAAGTTTTTTAAAAATTTATTTTACAATTATTCAGGTAAATCAATTTTATCCCCTTCAAAGTACTCCCCCTGTGACATAATGCACTTGTGCCAACGCCGTTTCCACTGTGAGAAGGCTCCTTGAAAGTCCTCTGGTTGTAGGTTTCTCAGCTGCCCCGTCGTAGCTTTTTTTATCTCATTTATGTCCCCCAAATGCCGCCCCCGAAGTACCAATTTGGTTTTTGGGAACAAGAAGAAGTCACACGGGGCCAAATCCGGCGAATAGGGGGGGTGTTCGGTCACCGTAATGGAATTTTTACTCAAAAACTCACGGACAACAAGAGAGGTGTGGGCAGGGGCATTGTCGTGGTGAAGAATCCAACGCCCCTCTCGCGCCAATTCTGGACGAACTCGTGCCACACGAGCTTTGAGGCGTCTGAGCACATCGACGTAGAATTTTCCATCAACTGTCTGGCCTGGAGGGACGAATTCTTGATGGACAATCCCCCGAACATCGAAAAAAACAATCAACATTGTCTTGACATTTGAGCGGGATTTTCTTGATTTTTTTGTACGTGGTTCCCCGGATGCCTTATCGAATTAGATCGGCAAAAATTTCACGGCCATTCTTGCCGAGTTTCGAGAGAAACTTGATTACGACGCGCTGCTCTTCAACGGAAGCGGGCTCCATGCCGACGGGGTTTCGTTAAGAGGTAACTTCACAGATGGCGTGACAAGCCACGCACGGCGGTCAGACCAGAACTGAAGCATTGTTAGGGACATAAGGAAGGGGTCCTGCGCTTACCTGGCCTCCCCACTCCTCTTTCTCGCATTCCAGAACACTTTTATACGAACTTTCCGGACAGACCTCGTATATCTGAGGAAGTAACTTATAATATTGAGTAAAAATATTTTTTTTTACACTACAGATATAATAAATGTGGAAAACAAGCTCACGGCCCACCTGATGGTAAGTGGTTACCGTAGCCTATATACCTACCTACGCCTATAATACCAGGGGCATTATGCGTTCGTTGCCCTCCCTGAAGAAACCTCTTTACCCTATTTTTGAAGAACCCTATGCTGGAGTCTCTTAGGAGGGGGGAAGTGATTGCTAATAATGTGGACTCCCAGTCCCATTGCTAGCACAAATAATTATGTTAGTTTATTACGTAATCCACTTTTAGTAGCAATACTGTAGGCAGTAAAGTTGGATTTGATGTAACCACCTTAATAACCCATTAGTGTTCCTCGGATCGCTCTTATAAGAAACTATTCGTACTACGACATTGTATCATATGATATTCTAGAGGATGTTTTTTCAAGACCGGATTCATGAGCAGTTCCAACGGGAATGAAATACGGGAAGTTATTTATAGTTAGAATCGGGCAACGCCACGGGAAACGGCTAGTAATATTATAAAATTGTAACTAGACAATGTCTGTACATGGGAGATATTTAACGAAACTAATATAAGATATCGGTAGATGCCAAAACAATATATTTTAAATTTCGTTTGATTGTCTGTATGTTTGTTTCGACATCACACAAAAATTACTGTATCTAATTAGATGCGGTTTCCACAGTTGTGTTCCTTAAGATTTAATTAAAAATCTATTGCAATTTTTTTCGTGATACGTTATGATTTTCCCACTGTTGAAACCATGCGCATGAAGTAGCGAGAGAAAAGCTAGTCGATTGTATTCATTTTTATTTTTCATGTACACATTTTTTTTGTACAATTGATAAAGAGAAGCTGAAATCAATTCTGAATATCTCGTCGTTAAGGAAAAGAAACGTTTAATAGATTTCTTTTCATATTGCTATATATAGATAATTATCCCAAAATATCCCTCCCGTTGGTTAAATTGCTAAAAAAGGATTATAAATTCGTTTGGGAGTCTAAACGTCAAAGTTTGGACAAGATCAAACATTTATTATGTACATAATCCTTCTATACCCGCTTATTTTTCAGAGAAATCTTTGGTTTGCACAATACTCTATATAGATCCTGTTTGGATGCAGGAAACAGAATTTATGTTAGTGTGTTACGCATTTAGAAAGTTCTCCGATGTCGAAAAGAGGTATTCTGTTGTCGAAAAAGATTATCTATCTTTGGTTTGGGCGTTTAATTTTTTTCATTAATAGATGGATTTGCGTTTGATCCTCACTTGATGCTTAGTGAGGATAAGGTCTAGGATTATTTTTAATGTTGTGGGGTAAGGAATTTCAGGTAGTAATTGATCATAAGCGGTTATGTTAGCTTCTTTATTCAATGAATGGTAAACTAGCTAGCTAGATGGTCTCCTATCAAAATCAAAATACGAGTATATTGGTTGCTCACGCGCCCAGTTTTTTTTTTTATGAATGGTACTAGAATGGTAACTCCGCCGACGCTGTCGGTATACGCTGGTGACCTGCTAGCATATACCAGTGATATATGATAGGTGAGGATGAAAACAGCTCAGTTAGCCCATCGTGACGAACTTCATAAGAATTAATCATCATGGTTTTCAGGGGGAACCGCGTAGTGTATTGCTAGTAATGGGGCTTTTAAGACCCTATTACTAATAATCCCTTCCGCGTATAGTCAGGCGCCTTCTATAGCGATAGTCATTTAACCACTGCTGAGTGATCTATCAACAACGATTTCGTATCACATTTTGCATAAAAAAATTAAAAAGGTGATTTACTATCCTATTACTACTATACTATTCCTATTATTACTATACTATTCCTTACTATCACTATACTATTCCTGCAATGAGGTGGAGGGCGTTGATATTCGCGACACAGTTTCATACTTCTGCGGATATCATCGTTTTTCAATAATATCGTAACCAATGTTTTTGTTCCAAATAAAGAATTATTATTATTATTACTATATGATTTGATAGTTTTGTAGTGTTGTCTTTTTAGAGATGATCACAGAAATTTCAGACTTCGGTCTAACCAAAATATTAGGTTTTCGTACACGATATTTCTTTGATATTACACACGTATGCACGCACATACGTATATTATATATGTATGTTATGCTCAATGTCAAGATAATGTCACATTGTGTTTGGACAGAGATTAGTGATAGGATTATTAATGAAACTATAGCTTCCTAATCCCTGAAGGTAGGGGTAAGGGATTGTTAGTAATGCGAACTACCAGTTCCATTACTAGCAATTACAGATGGGCAAAGCACCGGGTTTAAACCCGGTGCTTTGGTAAAAACCCAATAAACACCCATAAACTCCCATAATCACCCAAAAAAATAGGTTTTTACGTATTTTTTTGAAAATATGTAAGTAATACCAATAAATTATTTTTATAAATTGTATTGATCAATTCTACAATATTAAATAAAACGTTAACTAATAATATTTCAGGAAATTTTAAAAATCTATATATAATAAAATGAAAGTAATTAATTTTCAGTGTTTTCATGTTGCAGTTGATCAACATGTTGGCCTTTTGCTTCCCGTAGATACTTTAAAATTTCTTCATAACACCTCGTTCGCACACATGGCCGTATATATTTAAATTCTTGAGCCACTAACAGTCCGAAATACTCATTTCTTTTATCCTCTTCTCCATAAATTAAGCATTTAGAACAGTTTGTTTCTTCTTTCAGTAAATTTTCTTTTACTTTATCCTCGTTTTTTTTCTTTGTTGCGACGACGCTGGGTAAATCGTCTGGACACTGGGTCTCACTATCGCCAAATATATTTGGAGATCGGCTTCGGCTACGGCTTGGCAGACATTTTTTTCTTTCTACAATTTTAAATTAAATTTATTAGAATAAATGCTTCGAACACACGCGATCTAAGTACCTTTTGTGTTTATTATACCTTACCTACCTAGGTATAAAAAGAGTACTTACGTAGATTTTCTTTTATTAACTGTTTTATACGAAGATCTTGATCTCTCAAATTAGCATCCATTTTACTTCCAGTGATTATCAACTAAATTAATAATCCACAAAGTATTAAATAACGTTTTTATGAAATATTTAGCACAAAAACAATACCCTTTAAATATCGATCGTCAGTAACTGTGGCTGACTTACCTATATTCTAGCAAGCAGGACTGCCAGATGTGAAGGGGAAATCCCCAATAAATTGTTGCATGTGACTGATGATGTGAGCATGTTCGTTTCATAATAAAAATGTTGCCAGGTAACCAAAAAGTCGTATGTTTTTGTGCGAATTACGATCATAATCTTTACGATCGTACATTAAAAAATAGACAAATAATAGTATGAGTACGATTTAAATCGTATATCTGTCAACCCTGCTAGCAAGACAGCGACAAAATCACGTTGCATAACAATGTAGCCCAAGCTTATATCTTATGAAATATACGGAAGAGATACGGACTTAGAAAAAACAGAAATGTTGTTCTTTGTGGAAGTCATTGATGAAATTCTATGTATTTTAGCCCGCAAACTTTCTTCAAACAAAAACAGCGCCATCTAGTATCGAGTTCTGTAATTATCTCTTTGTTTATGGATTTGAAGTAAGACCGCCACGCATGCAATACATTATGACTGGGGATTCCCCTATTCGTCGACGCTGAATATGAGGCGACGACAATCACTGTCAAACGTGTTCACTATTACTCTGACTCTGGTAACGTGACTTCCTGGTAACGTGTTAGGTAGGAAAAGCAGTAAAAAAGTGCATATTAAGGGAGCAGATTTGAAATAATATTTATACTTAACAAGAAATAATTAAAGGTAAGTGGATTTTTGAATGATACAATTATATCATGATCACTTAACAATTTTAACTTAAAATTAGATGTATTATTACAAGCTTTTATTTAGCTTGCGTTATGTAAATAAAAGTATGTAGGTATGTTCGTATGTTGATGCAATTATCCTCAATCCTCAACCGACTGGGATAAAATTTTCCATACACGTTTATTTTGGATGATAGTGCATAGTTAGCTGAGAGTCGTCATTGGATAATAATGGTGGATAGCCTAAGATGTGTACTAGATATTTATTTTTAACATAATATGCGTAAGTACCTAATCGAATTAAAGAAGTTGCTGAGAAAAATACAGAACAATACGATAATAAACTAGCGTCTGCGTTTAATCCTCCGAGGAGATGTAATTTTACAAAGGTTTTTTGTATTTATTTTATTATTTTTTTAATAAATTTATTGTAAATAACAAGAAATAATCATTGTAAAAAAATAGGCACTCTATTGTTGAATTTTCGTCAGACCAACTAATCATCGTTCATTTTTTTAGGTTCAATGGGGAGACCTAAAGATTTACGCATATGGGAGCACTACCGTACTTTACCAAACAAGTCTGTTTCTTGCAAGCTTTGTAATAAGGTCTACAAATTCAGTAATGCTGCCAAAATGCTTCAACATCTTATCACTTGTCCAAAATCTCCAGAAACATTAAAAGACTCTATGAAACTTATAAAAGATAGCTCGTCCAAAACCAAAATGTCTGGACTGTCAGAGATAGAGACAAATGATTCTTTTATAAGCCCCTCGTCGTCTGCTAACACTACAATAAATGCTGAGTTTCAAGACACCGATGATCATATAAAAACAGAATTAGCGAGAGCTATATTTGTAACAGGGACGCCATTATCGATGGTGCAACATCCTTTATGGATACAATTTTTCGAAAAATTGCAACCAAAATTTAAAATACCTTCACGTAAAGCTTTAGCGACAAAATACTTAGATAAAATATATAGAGAAATGCGTTTTGAGTTAAATGAGGAACTAAATGCTTGTAGTTACTTACACCTTCAGTGCGATGGCTGGTCTAATTTAAGAAATGAAGGAATAATAAACTTTCTTATATCAAAACCTCAACCTGCATACGTTAAAAGTTTGAATACAGAAAGTAATCCTCACACTAGTGAATACCTTAGCCAAGAAGTTGAAAAAGTAATGAAAGTGTATGGAGCAAATAAGTTTCTTGTACTTATTGGCGATAACGCTAGAAATATACAAAAGGCATTCGAATTAACAAAACTCAAATATCCACATGTTGTTCCTCTCGGTTGCTGTGCACATATCCTTAACTTGTTGTGCCAAGATATTGTAAAGATACAAGAAGTAACTGTGTTTATTATGCAAGCCATAAATATAATAAAAACTGTTAAAAGGAGTCAACGATTAAGTTCCTTGTTGATAAAATCAAGGCAGGGTGAAGATTCTACACAAACACTAAAATTGCCTTGTGCTACAAGATGGGGAAGTCATGTTACTTCGTTAAAAAGTTTGAAAGCAAATAAGATAGCTTTGCAAATATTAACAGTTAGAGAAGATGTGGTAATTTCAAGAGATATTAAAGATTTAATTCTAAGTGATGATTTCTGGACGAAGACAGGGGAATGTATAAGTATTTTGGAACCAGTCACTGAAAGCATATTTTACTTAGAGAGCGACCAGAATCGTTTGCATCGCACATACATTACATTTAGAGATGTACAAGCTAAGATACGTTTTGCATTAAATGAGATTTCGACATTGAGCGAAGAAAGCAAACAGCAGATTCTAACATCAGTATCTTCAAGATGCAATATGGCAATGAGGCCAATACATTTTGCAGCATATATTCTAGACCCCAGGACTCTAGGAGTCGAACTTACTCAAGAGGAAGAACTTAAGGGTATGGAGTTTATCTACAATTTAAGCCAACACTTAAGTTTGTCAAATGTAATGGCAGATTTGGCGTGTTATAAAGCTAAAGAAAACTTTTGGGCCAGAGGATTTGTATGGAGCTCATTAGATAGCATTGAGCCCCTAATATGGTGGAAAGGTATTTGTGGTTCCACTGAGTTAAGCAAAGTAGCGATTCGTATTCTATCAGCTCCCTGTACTTCGGCAGCCACTGAGCGTTCCTTTAGTATCCAAGGCTACATACATAATAACAAAAGAAATCGACTTACAACTGAAAGAACTGAAAAAATTTCATTCATTTGTTATAACTGGAATCTTAAACATAAAGCTGAATGCGAGGACATTCAGTTTAATGAAGAAAATACCTTAGAAGCTTTCATTGAGCAAGTAAATGAACATAACAGTTTAGACGAAATAGAGCCTATCGAACCTATACAATTCATCGCTTGTAATAACTCTGAATCTGACAGTGATTGACTGTAGTTTTACATTTTACTTTCATCTCTTTCTTAATAAACTCAAAATCAAATTAAAAGTTTTTTATTCTGTAGGCTGCATAATAATATTGTCTATGTCCAGTATAGTGGACGTCTTGCGGCTGAGATGACGATGATGAAGTACAAAATCATAAACACCCAAAAATTTGGGTGTTTATGGGGTTTAAACCCAATAAACCCAAAACACCCGGTTTTTACCCACCAGACTTTAAACCCACCCAGGTGGATTGCCCATCTCTACTAGCAATATACTCTGTTTGGTCGACCTCCACATGATTCCCTCTGGAAACCATGACGCTAAATTCTAGGTGTATTCATCACGATGGTCTAACTATCTTTTCATTCCCACCTATCATCCCTCACTGGTGCCCTGCTTGCGCTAACGGTATACGCTAACGAGGCACCAGTGAGGGATGAGAGGTGAGAATGAAAAGGCTGGTCAGCTAGTCCATCGTGATGTATACATCAGGTTACTATTCCATTATCATCTATTAAAAAATAGTTCCTTTGCTAGTATATAATTAAAAATTATATACTAGCAAGTTGTGGTCTAGTACACGAGTAGGTTATATCCTAACTTAGCATGTGAGACACTTTTTGTACTGCTTCAGGTAAGCAGAGCCGTGGGATATAGCTAGTAATCAATATGTATAAAAAGGTCTTTGGTGGCTAATAAATTCAACATTTCCATCCTTATGCCGAACACGCGTCACTATTAAATATTACAGTAGGTAGGTATTTAGTAAATACTTTTCACGGGCAAGTTTATCGATTCAACTATTCAAACTATGTTGTGTAGCTATCGGCCACTCTTGGGTAGTTGTCCCTAACTAGATCGTTATATCGTAAATTACGGTATTTACTAGTGATGTACCGGGTCAGGATTACACGAATACTGACTAAAGTCTGGGATTCTGCACGTTTCTACAAAGAATGTAAGTAAAATTTGGTACAAAAAGGCAGTAATGACTAATATTATATATGGTGTGGCTATATTAATGTTAAGAAAACGGTCAGAGCTTAAATAAAAGTTATAAATTTAGTTTTCTACAAAATTCGAGAATTATCCAGAGAAAAATCTAAGAAGATAGTGAAAATTTGGTTATTTAAAATTTAATGTTTGGGGCCAGACTTTTGAATTTAGAACATCTTTATTGTACACTCTGCATAATAAAAATATTTTCTAATGTCTAGAGTGCTGTCGTCCAAATACCACTTATGAAATTTGAAATTGGAAGCTAAAGAATTAGATTTATCCTAAATTGTAAAAATGGCTGATCCCAGAGGGTCGTGTTGTTGATAACCAACGACCGAGAGTAAATTATTGTTTAAATACGCAAGTTTTATGGGTTTACTGCCTTAATTAATTACTAGACAAAAAATTATTAAGTACCTGAACATTTATTAATTTTATTAAAAGAAAGCTTCCGAAATAATTTGAAACATTTGTCTTGAGTAACACTAGAATAATACTGAGTCAGTATTTGTTTGAAGCTTCAGATTCGAGACAGTATTCGAATCTGTTTTAGAATTAATTACCGACACGACTCATCACTAGTATTTACCCGCATCGTATGCTTTTCCCTTCGCCCCTTCATCATTATATTTAATTACTGCATTTGTTTACTCACATGTGGTGCGTTGGAACGGACTCGTCCTTTAATAGAACAAACCAAACTCGTTACTTTAGTAATTACTGTGATTTGAGATTGTTAGAGGCTTAATTCAAAGTTATTTCAACTTTATTAGACACTTACCACGATTGTTTTATTGGCTGCTAGTAGGACATTTGACGGGAAAAGTTTATCTTTCCGTTTTTTTTGACGAATGCGTGTGATAGTATGGGATGTTCAACGATAAAATCAACACGCTATTTTATTTAATAACAATATACCTATAAATATTTATGAATACACTTATCAAAATTCTAAGAATGGTAGGGAATGGAGTAGATTATGCCTATACGTTCCTGTATATCTTACAATAAAGCCCTACGAATAAGTCACTGTAATAAAAATTATAATAAATCTTGCACTCAGATCGTGCAGTTTTTAGTGGTTAGAAAGCCTTTACCCTAATAAGTGGTTAATTTATGTCAAAACTTTTCGCTCATTAATAAATAAAGCCTTAGGTTTAAAATAGATATACTAATTGTCACGTAAAAATGCAATTTTCTCTCCTAAATAAAGTTTTAAAAAACATTTTTAAGTATATTTTTAGTAAGCTAATACTTAAATAGAAAATCAAAGGGTTAGTTAAGTACATAATATTGTGTTAAACGGAATAATCAGTCGTATGAAATTGTTTATTGATGCATCATTGTTTCACTTACAATATCGTGTCACCAGTATTGATTAGGTGCTACCGATTGCCCTGTACATTTGTAACTTGCAAACATAGATCATTGTAAGCTGGTCGCTTTTTAAATACACAATTATAAATCTTAATATCTTGACTTAAAATGCAAAATAACGGGCAAAAGAAAAAATAAATTATTTAAATATGTACGTTAAGTTCAGATAAATAGATACCATTTCTAGTCGATAAATTTTAATTAACATCGGCCTGACAGGAAGTCTGATGGGGTCGAAAGGCAATTGACTTTGTTTGTTATGAAAATTGCACAGGACTTTTTAAATAATTGGCGAGAAACATTAAAAGTTACTCAATTGTTTTGGAAAATTGAAAATATGATCGAAAATAAACTACTCGGTGAGAACTTTACGTGTTATGTTAGCAATGTTTAACAATATCATCTACATGACATATATGAAAGGGTTTTATGTAATAAATAAATAAATAATGGCATTGTTTCCACACTTTTGTTAAACTTTGGTATGAACATTCTTGTTCTAGTCTAGTAGAACAGTCATATTTATAGGTAATTGTTGACCCAGAAAACGTTGTTTTGTCCTTTGCAACCACCATTTTCTTATCGGGATAATAATATTTTATTTGTCAAGTTATATAACATAGTTATAAGTTGTATATAAGCAGTTTCAGAGATTGTTGAACGAACACGAGATTTTTTTAAGGTCGGAATTGTTGGAAACCTTCGATGACAGTATTGTACCAGTGAAACTGAAAATTTTCACTGAAGAAATATGGCCTCGAAACCCTCAAAAATTTGAGTCTCTCTCAAAACCCAAGGTTAGCTTTTGAGTTGGTTAGTATTTTTAAATAACCAGAGGGAAACTTTGTATAAAAGTCGTTTACTTGGACATCTCTGTCCCATTCGTGTTTTTACCGTGAAGCAGTTGTGTTTGCATGGCTGTGTCTCGGTTTGAAGGATGGTGGCAGTAAATTTACAAGATACAGATGAATACTCTGTTATATCCATGGTACTGCTTATATGTATACGCGACGGTTAGCACTATCCATCAGGTAGCACTATCCGTTAGCTCGTTTGGCATTCTAAGTTGCAAAAAAATTATATACTATATATAAAATTTTTAGTTTTATGGACCATTGATGATGTCGATTCCAATTTTAAGCTTGTATATGAAGATTAATACTTACATTTCCACACGCTCAACCTTGATACCCCAGGCTTCGGTAGCTTCATCCAAAGACAGTTGCATATTTCCGGAGATGGTTTCCCGTTCGCTCAGTATTTCATGTAGCGGTCTAGTTCCCATAGTATTACGCAATGTGGTCTGAGCAAGAAGTCTAGTAGAATGATGGGCATTCTCCACGTTAGCTATTGATATAGTGGCGTTGTGGACTCGATAGTAGACTACGGCATCCACGGAGACAGTTACAGAATCCTTAGTGAGGACCTGGTCAAAAGAATATAAAATATTTAAGAAATAAAAAAGAAATCATTAACGTATATTTCCCCTTGATATGCTCACTAGCTTTCGTCAAAAGTAAAATTTCTTATATAATTGAGGAGCATTTTTACCAGTGGAAAACTGCCTGCATGGGTATCTATGTCCTACTCATATTCCTGTGGTAAAGCATTCGTGCTTGTATTGCTGTTTCGGTTTGAAAGGGACATATGACGGTGAAATTACAGGGTACGAATACAAAAATACCTAGTCCGTAATTACCATGGGCATCACAGTGTATTCTGTGATATCCATGGTGTTTTCATGACTACAGTCGACCAAGTGGTTTGTCAGTTTGTTTACCATTATAAATAGACATAATACAGTGAATAAAAAAATTCTTATTGGGAAAAGTTGCTTACAGAGTACAAAGAAGTATAAAAATACTTACCGCCTGGAAAATATTTTTCTTATTTCTTTTACTAATTAAGCTGAGTAGATTAAATAAAATATAAATGTTGCTTATAGAGAGATTGCTTATTTAGAACGTTCACTGTAATAAGAAATCTACTGAGATAAACAGCATCATAGGTATCTCAGAATACATTGAAATACTCACGGTGCCTTAGTGAAATCATAACATCAAGAAAAAGGAATACCAAAATATTACGCATTAAGCTGATAGCACCTTTGAACGTTAGCAGCAAAAGATTGATTAGAAGGGTAAGTAAACCGTCACAACAAAGTACATTTATATGACTTTAATCGAATGACCGATTGTGTTCGATCGAGTTGATGCTAAACATTAGTAAATAATCTAACCTTGAATCCATACAACGGCTTATAGGCATTAAAAATGAATATTTGATGATGTCGTAAAATATTCTAAGTACTATGACTTAGTAAGAATTCATCGTGTCACAATTCTTTATTAAGATGTTGGAAATAAAAGCCTATATGAAACTGCGTGGCCATCGTATCAATATAAGACTAGACTCCTCCTTTGAGGATGTTAATACAATATTAAAATTTATAAATTGACCTCATATAAAAAACGTTTTAAAAAACATGAGAGTATATCATTAATATTTAGGGAAGTAAAATTTTGTATCACTTTTTTTAATGGGTGATAATGGAATGGTAACCCCGCCTGCGCTATTGGTGAAATATGACAGGTGAATATGAAACATATCAGTTAGTTCATCTTAACGAATTCCTCAAGAATTAATCGCAATAGTTTCCAGGGGGAACCGCTTAGAGGTCTATCTGGTGTAATATATTGGTACATATTACGGTATACTAAGTCTATGAATATACCCTATTTTGTTAGCAAAAGAGCTCTTAGAACTTTTTATAAAAAATGTTTTTCGCCCCGATTTTGTACTACCTTTGTACTACATGCATTTGTACTGCAAACTTGTTAGGCTCGAATGGTTTAAAGAGAGGGATATGACATAGAAATTACAGGGTACAGAGGCATAACATCTTAACAGCGTTCAATACTTTTGCTAACCGAAGTGGCATTGTCGTAATTATTTGTCAATTTTCAAAAACAATTCAAACACTCGCCTTTGTACTTTTGATTACCTCTGTCATATTCTTATAACTAGTGTGTACAATAAAGAATTAAATAAATTTCAATGTTTTTTTTATGCAATTTAGAATGGCAAACAAGCTAATAGCACATCTGATGGGAAGTGGTAACCATCGCCTATAGATATGAGCAGTACCATGAACATAAAAGAGGACACTGTTTCCCCCATGTTACGCCCCATATATTGCCATTTTTGAGGAATAAGGTGTATTGATTTTATACTCTGTAAATTCACTGCCATATCCCACCTTTCGAACTGAAACACAGCCAATGTAAACACAATTGCTTCACTATTGAAACATGAATGGGACAGAGGTACATAAACAAACGACTTTTGTACAAAGCCTCTCTTTGGTTTTTTAATATTTTCGACTGGTTATTTAAAAAATGCTCTGTCAGTAAATAAAAGCGTTAATAATAAAAAATACTGCACATAAATCTATTATGAGTATTGAAAAACCTCCTCCATATTTTGCTTCGAAATATTTTCAATACATTTTTCAGACAACTTTATAATATAACAATATATTACAAAAAATATTACATGAATAACGTTGTAGTTCGTTAGCAGTTTTTTTTTTAATAATCAATTAGTAATATTGAAAAATGCTATATTGTTTTTAAAATTTGACATATAATTGCAAAGTTGCTGTACTTCGTTATTTTTATTACTTCAGGCGTTAACTGTCCACTGCTGGATATAAGCCTTCTCTAAAGGGAAGTTTTGCCAGTAGTTGCCATGTTTAGCAGGCGAGTTGGCAACCGCAGTGAGGGTATTAGAGACGCTTTTTAAGAGGCTACTGCTCAACCCTCGCCGTCCCTTAGTTGTCTCTTACGACACACGGGAAACTAGGGCACATACGGCAATTTCATTATGAACGGTTTTGATCCTCAGGAATAGCCACTCATGAGGATACTCATTATATTATATTTTGTGATGTCCATGGTCTATTCATGTCTAAAGGAAACCGCAACCATTTTTTATCAGTCAGTGGGTCGTCAGCAAGTCTGTATATGTTCGTATGTACTAGCGATCCATCCTGGTTTCGTACGAGTTTTGAATATAAAAGTATTCTATAGATAAAAGAATTTTTAAAGTAGATTTATAATTTTTTGATTTTATCCATAACAAACAAAAATCTTTTCTCCTTATAATATAACTCGTGGTTCAGATGTAAGAATTTTTCAAGGTGAATAAGACCTAGGCGGGGACGATAAAAATGCGTTACGAGGATCAAAAAACCAAGGTTGAACATAGCGAAAGGAATTTCCTTTCACATTGCTTATTATATTTATGGTACCCATGGTATCAATGTTTATGGGAGATAAGTGAGATGACTGTCAAGACATATTGAAAGGTACAGGCTCGACAAGGATAAACTGTATCCCTGAAGCAAGAATAAGCATGAAAGGAAAATAATAAACAAATAGACAAATTCAACTTTACAAGGTTAAATAGATAACATAGATTATTAAAAATTGTGTCCCATATAAAAAAAAACCGACTTCAGTTGTAATAAAACCTGTTATTTTCGTCTAAAAATTAGAATATTGAATCGATTTTAATAAAATCTCTATAGGACTAAACTGGAGAGAGAGAGCCAGAGAGAGAAATAGAGCTGGCTGGAGGAAGATGCATGAATTAGTTGCACCGACAAGAGGAAACTCTTAAATGAAAAGAAGAGAGACTAATCCGTATGTCCTTTCAGATAAAAAAGAATAATTTTAAACTCGGATATGAGGTTACAAACATTAAAAAAAAATACAACCGAATGGAGACATTTCTTCTTTTTGAAGTCGGTCATAATTAATGTTTTGTAAGGAAGTATTCTATTAGTGATTCCATACCTGTTTCCACAGAAATATCATCGAAACATGTTAGTACATGAAGCCCTAAAGTATTTGTTTCGGTTCCTTTAGAGAGAAAAAAAACTGTTTTATATCACATACATCGAATACGGATATCCTCTCTAATACAAAGGTAGCTTCATACTTACTAATATTATAAATATGAAAATGAGTTTATTTATTTGTTACTTCTTAGCACATTAACGGCTTAACAAATTATTTTGAAATTTGGTATACACGTAAAATATGGCATTGACAAGGTTCTAGGTCGCATATAAAATTTAGTGTAGTAGCTATCTGTCTATAATAATGACCTATTAACATTTCACTAGACTAACTCCTAAGAAAAGGACATTATGCACCGTTTGCGTTGACGCGATAACTTGGTATAGGGAAAAGTTAGTCAATGTGCATGTTGTAAGAAATTGATGCAGGAATTGGTTTCCATTAAAATTAAACCTAATACTAGAAATAAGAGTAATCGTTAGTAATAAAATACACATAAAACGAAATTGTGACTTTCATTCATGAAAGTGTAATTAAACAATTAAATTGTATTTATTACTAATTTTTAACCGCGACTTCGTTGACGTACATTAGATAAAAGCAACTTATCTTCTATGTCTCTTAAACAAATTAATTTTTAAATTATTTACACACGTTACTTACTGTGAAAGGCATAGATTACTCTAAAATCAGTATTTAGTATTATTACTCTGAATGTAGTAAAAGCGATGAATTTATTTATTTGGATAAACATTAATTTGTAACACTATAAATGTGCATTGTAAATACAGTGTTCTATTTAAATGTTTGGTTATGACACAATTTACATTATACTCGCTATTCAACCGTCGACTTTTCTTTAGAACTTTGTCAGACCAACAATTCTACTACACATTATTTTCAAGTAACTCACAGATTCTGCAGCACACGCCGAAATAGCTCATTGATGGCAGGATTTTTTCGACATACTTAATAAGTCATAGCTCGACCAATTTAAACAATATCTTTGTTTTTGCTTTTTTTTCTTCATCTATTTAATTAAAGTATCTACATAAAAAAGGAACCTATATACTTAATTCAAAATATTAATTTTCTAACCAAACAATACTATAAAAACGCTTCTTGCGTCGTTCATATGCTGAATTCAGTTGAGTGAGAAAAATGAGTAACATGGCTGCGGCTGAATATTTTACTTTCAGCAAAATTGAAATATGGAAATCAGACATATCAAAATTAATATTCGTAAATCAACTTCTCTTAACCTATAATTTACTAAACAGAAGAAGAAGAAGAAGAGAACAGACCGTTAAGAATTTTTCTGCGTATTTTTAGGAAATGCAACCTGGCGATTGACAGCAAAAAGAAAACGCACAGAAAGTTTATCAACGGCTGGAGTACCAATAATTTGTAGATGACATGCCCCGTGAAAAGAATCGAGTACACTTCAACGTCGAGAGCCTTCCGTTCAAACATAGGACGGGTAAAACCATGCAATGTAATTTGTGAGAGCATTCATATTGTTTTTTAATATGTTTAGTGCCATGAGTTCAATAAGTTATTGCACGCAGCCTCCTGTAGTTTTGGCATTACGGTAGTTTTACGTCATTGCTGCTATCAAATTAACTAGAGAAAAAAAAATGTTAGATAAAATAAGTTAAGTATAATATATAATATAATAAATAAAGTTTACGGATCACTAGTTATAATTTTTTAATGCTATCTCAGATCAGACGAAGACGTTTAATGCGACTTGGGGAACTCAGTGGTAGAGGAATGGGCGGCAGCGTCCCTCTTAAAACATCTCTAAAAACTTAACTACCGTTGATAAACTGGGTGCCAAGCGTAGCAAGTACGGGCAACACTACCCTTATGGGCTAGGCTTATGCTCAGTAGTGGACAGTTAATAGTTGTATGTACTCTAAAACTAAATATCTATTCGAACATGTAATTTCACACACACACACAGTAAATGAAATTAATTCAAATTAAGTCTAACAAATTATCCATTAAGTTAATGAAGGTGTGTTCACTGTAATTAGGTAGTTAAGTACATTTCGACGGTTAACCGCTAATAACCCCTAACTAACATGAACAAAATGTTACAGAAACTACAGAAAAGTTTCTAATTTTGAATTTATTCTGAACATGATGAAATCAAAAAGGAAATTCATTTTAATATTAATCCTCAAATGATGTAAATATTAAATATGTATGCAACATTGAAAATAGGATAGGTAAGTTAAAAAGTTTTTTAAACGATTTTAAAAATGTCAGTTTTGAGTTTTCCTTGTTAACCGTCGATTTGTTAAGTCCGTTAACCTTATGAATTCAGTTTTATATACAAGAAAATACGTACGTCGCCACACAAATCTATAAGAACCTACTTCTAATAGGTACAGTGCGTCGGTTCATTATTTTAGGCTACGCTCTGATGGATTTAATTCGGATATTATTACCAAGATTATTACGTACGCGTAATGCTCCCATTATATTTTACTTTTACATGTACATGTTGTTACATGATAAATAATTCAAACAGCGGAAGCAGATTTTGTACGTCGTTTATAAAGATAGCTCTGTCATGTTTACTCGCGAAGCGTAATCTATTTCTATTTGTATTATTCAATAACTTACAACACAATATTTCAGTGAATATTATTTTTATTATTATTTTTATATCACAATTATTTATTTATATTATTTCATTAGTATAAGAACAATTAAATTACTTAATCTCATTATTCTTATTTTAAAACAAATGAACAAAATGACAATCATCAATAATATTTATTACAAAACTACAAATGAAACATTTAAAATATTTTATACCAGAGGGAGACTTTGTACAAAAGTCGCTTGCTTGGGTACTTCTGTCCCATTCGTGCTTCAACCGTGAAGCAGTTGTGTTTGCATGGCTGCGTTTCGGTTTGAAGGGTGGGGTATGGCGTGAATTTACTGGGTACAGAGGAATAACACCTGAGTCCTCAAGAATGGCAACGCATGGGGGGTATCATGGGCGAAACAGTATACTCTGTTATGTCCATGGTACTGCTCATATCTATAGGCGACGGTTACCACTTTCCATCAGGTGTATCGTCAACTTGTTTGCCATTCTAAGTTGTATAAAAAAAAAAATTATAATTGAAAATTTATTGTGGTTGGTGTCGGCATTAATTTTTTTACAATCAATATTGCTGTTTTTTTTTTTTTAATTTCTATATGCTCTACCTATATGGTAAACAAATCAATGTCTCTATTGCTTTTATTATGGTATGTGTGATTTGCTCGAATACTTTTTTGGATATTGAGTAAACGTCATCCGCGCGTGGGTTGTAATGTAAGGTATAAATATTATGTGACGGCTTACGTAATCAATCAAGTTTGCTTGCACTTGAGATTTTTCCATCTGCTCCTCTTTTTAACCCTCGACGCGAAATGAGGCGCATATAATGTTTGAAAGCTTTTTCTGTATGTCCGTGCATATGTCTCCGCGATTGTACGGGCTAAAAACGTCATCATTAGCATCATTCTAAGGGAGTGTTCTAACATTGAAATTGAATATGGAATTATGGGTTGATGGATGTAATTAATATCCATCAATCCATAATTTAATACAAAATTTCATTAAAATTTGTTGAGTTGTATTGGATTAGCTTTAATGAAGATCGTGACAAGGAGTTTTTGTATATTATAATTATCAAAGAAAATATTTCCTATATACACTTTGTATCTTTGTACTGGCTTTGAATATCTGTAGATTAAGGATAGTACCTTTCTTTAAAACAACATAACTCAACGCCACACCAGAGGCATTGCTGGTGTGCTGGCGGCCTTTTAAAAAGGAATATGCTCTTTTCTTGAAGGTAATGATGCCGCATCGGTTCCGAAATTCTACTGCTGGAAGCTGGGATGGAACTTTAGTTTGTGGCAAGTTTTGGCGTAAATTTACAAGGTACAGAGAAATAACACCCGAGTCCTCAGGAATGGCAACGCATGGGGGGTATCATGGGTGAAACAGTATACTTTGTTATGTCTATAGGCGACGGTTACCACTTTCCATCAGGTGGGCCGTCAGTTTGTTTGCCATTCTAAGTTGTATAAAAGAAAAGGTTGTACAGAAGTGAAAATCAGCAGCAGGTATCAATTTGAACAATTTCTCAGAGCACTTCTCCTGATATATACGATAAAAGAAGCATAAAGATGCAACATTTCTACGCAGTTGTAGTTGGTCGAATCGGATGTAAGGTGCAGATCATCAATAATTCGCCTGACTTTGAATGCAGTCCAACGGAAGGAGATGGTACTATGTGCTCTTGCTCATAGATGAGAACAGTAATCCATATATGGCTGGATTTAAGCTTTTTACAATGAAATTGTAGTGGTGTTCCGGTGTGAATGCCGTCTCACTCTATTAAGTACTCCTAAATTTTTGAAGGCCATCTAAGCCTTTTCCTCCAAACGACCGCAAAACTGGACGTCGTTGGATATATTAACGCCAAAAATTCTTGGGCTCGACTTATTATTAAGGGTAGTGCCTTGAAAGTGAGGAGATACGACAAACGGCAACTTATTGCGGTGAACGCGCAGACATGTATCTTCTTAGTAGTCCAGACAGTATCTGCGGTAAAATATCTAATCTTAAATAGATTAGCTTCTCATCCGTCATTCACTGAATATGCTTCTGCTTGCATCTGACAATGAGCCCCTTATGTTTTTAGTATTTCTTATTTCGTTATATAATTTATAAAATACCTATAACATATCAATGTTTATAACGGAAAGCAATATCTGCATTATCCACTGATGTATAAAAAAAACTTGTTTATTTTTTATTAGATCCTTAAGATGTAATAAATAGATGTATGCCAACATTGTTCGAACAAATTGAGAGTTCGTAATGCGATCAAACTTCTTAAGCGTTCAAGGTAGTCAAATTTTTATATGATTTGGCTTAACGCTTAACAATTTAATGGAGTAACTAAATTGATGCATTATATCAACTTTTTAAAATTATTTAGGTAATTTTTATTAGTTAAATTGATTGTGCAACAATAGACTTGCGTTATTTTGTCAGGTTGACATCGAGAGCTGATTTATCTTCATGGATGTTAACCTCACACGTATTTGTCATGATGGGTTGACTGGACTCCGTCTTTTTCTAATATAATTTACTGGGGGAAAGGAATTGTTAGCAATATCAGTTCGACCTTTTCTTGCGAGGTTTCCCCTTGAAACGTGGTAAATTTTTGTTGAATTCATCACGATGAAACGACGATCTCCTATTGGTGCTCTACCGATACATACCGATAGCACAGGGACCATTCCATTTTCATCCATTAAAAAATGTCATTCAATGGTATCGAATAGCGTAGCGTGGGTTGCCAAATTTTTTCATCGTCAATTTATAACCCCTTAGAGGTCTTAAAATAGTTATTCATACTCGTGCTTACCTCTTGTGGCGGGACGTCGTAAGTACGCGTGCGGAGGTCCACGCGTGCGTACGTATCAATGCACGGCAGTATGAAGAATATTCCTGCACACAAAAAAAAACATTGTTAATAATAATTTAATATAAATTATAAATATAATTAAAAATTTAAATAAATAATAAAAAAAGTTTCTTGCCTATATTATTGTCAGGTGTATTTAACAATAAGTATTATATAAATTTTAAAAACTTATATACCTTATTATTACCACCATCAATATCTAGGAATCATGGAACAATGGAAATATATGGGGCCGGGACCGATAATATCCATCACTGTCTTGAATACAAAATTGTATTGCACGGGAATTGAACTTGTAACCTTGTTGAAAGATGAGGTAGTATATTACCCCTTACTAACCCTTACTAAGTGTTTAATTGATTTTCTAGTTTATTTTAATCGACAATAATAATTTTATCGGTACGATATTATGACAAACTGGCCTTGTTATTACAAGTCAAATAAATAGTACATTTAACTCTACACACCAACTAGTGTTGAATAATCGAAGGGTAGGTATCGATTATTAATCGATTCGTTCTTCAAATATTCAATAATAAAATATATGTTGATTGCAATTTTTCGATTGAGTTCCATAGGTACTAACAATTCAAATAATCGATAACAAACAATTGTGAATAAATAGTTGATTATAATTGACTTCATTTCTACAAACTAATAGTTAATACCTATGGTTTTAAACCAGTTATCGACGTAATCAATACTATTGATAGATTATAAAATTTAAATATTTGTATATACTTTATTGTAAAAAAAGAGGTAACATTGTTATAAATTATTTTTCATTATAAAAAATTAATCGATTACAATTTCATATCGTTGCTACTGATTTTGCTATTCGGTGTTAGACTATCAAGATGAAAACAATCGATAAATTAACAATCGATAGATTGACAATCTATGTATTACACAACACTAACACAAAAGTAAACTGTATAACTCAATTCTTAATTCAGACAGTTTGTCAGTTTTTTATTGTTACTATGTTAGCTTGTAATTACAGCCGTTCTACCTAGCAGTGAGCACGATGCGCATGAATAATAAATTAAGTTACTTACAAAATAAGGTTTACGTTCTAATAAAGGAATAAAGGTAATAATAAATGAGAGAAAATTTTGGCGGGAAGACTCATATTTTTATTTCATGTCGGCACTATTTTTTATTTTTAATTTATGATCATAAATTTCACTCTAATACTACCACTTTTTTTACCTTTTCTATTTTTTTTTTGTATTTTACTTCACATATGTTTTATTGATACGTACCAGGCCCTTTCGCCCCGCCCGAAAGAAGTCTTCCGAGTCGAAAGATCACTGCCCTCTCGTACTCTTGCACGACCTGTTGTATTAAATAATTTAATAATTATTACATTCTTCACTAGTTATATTATCGACTTTGCTTACGTCAATCATTATATAAAATAGATATGTTTTAAGTTAGGATGTAACCTATTCCTGTATTAAATTTCATACAAATTCGTTCAGTAGTTTTTGCGTGAAAAGTAACATCCGTCCATCCTCACAAATTTTCTTGTTTGTAATAACATTAGGAGTAAGTGGGCCGGATGTACTTATTTAAAATTTAAATTATGAAAATTAAAACATATCTTACTTATATAATAAAAGTAATGTAATTAGATGATATCTGAACATGAGAAATATCTGTCACGCCTGTCTCCCATTAGGGTAGGCAGAAACAATGGAACGCCAAATGCTCCGATTCAAACAAACCTCTTTCGCTTCTTCCACATTCATCAATCTTTTCATACACGCTCGCCGGTTACGGGTACATTTAATTTGGCCCTTCTTCAGCACGTCGCCTATTTGGTCGACATACGTCCGTCTAGGGCGGCCCCTACCGACATCTCCATTCATTCTTGCTCGATAAATCTCTTTCGTAATTATTCTTTCATCTATCCTCTCCAAATGACCAAATCAACGTGAGAAATATATAAGAAAAATTTATACGAGAGGTCTAAAAAGATTAATAGGAACAATAATTTATAATATATAAACAATATTTTTTTGAAAGTTTATTTATCTGACTATATGTTTGTTCCGACATGACGCAAAAAACTAGAGCACTTAAATAGATGTAGTTTTCACAGTTGTATCTCTGTAAGCTTATACATAATTTGGAAATGACTACTTCATTAGTTGTCTACTTCTGAAACCAATCGTATGACATAGCGGGCTGAAAGCTGGTATTATATATAAATAAATACATAAAAACGACAATAAATTCAAAGACTTAATTGGGATCAATTCAATCCTTACGCTTAAACTATTTATTACAGGACAATGTTTTAAGTACCTATACCGAATTTCAAATTGAGAAAGAGAAATCTAATAGACTATATAATAAATAAACAAAAAAAAAAGCCGATGTCAAACTAGAGTTAACTAGGAAGTTAACTCTAGTTTGATCCCTATTGATCAATTCAACCCTTCCGATTAAACTTTTCCGATTAATATAATAAAGGATTTTAAGTGGAACGGAGGAATAAGAAAAAGAAGCCGAGATAAAATTTTTAGAATTAATAGAAATCAATTCAATCCATTCGATTAAACTTTTTCGATTAATTTACAAGACTTTAAGTGGGTCGGATGCACTTGTTTCGCGTTGAAATTGCTTAAGTTAAATCAAATAGGCTATATAAATATGAAAATAAAAACAAACCGACGTCAAATTGACAGCATTAATACGGATCAATTAAACTCTTTCGATCAAACTTTTTTGATTGATTTCTTTTAATTTTCACTCATTTATCGTGTTAAATTGTGTTTTCAATCGATAAACATACATATTACATGTATATATACATATATACGGATATTTATCTATGTAATGTTTATAATTAAGCTCTGAAAAAATGTTTTTCGAATTATGTTCGCCTTCCTTTTTAGAGTGATTAAAAAACAAATTCGATTATTAAACAGATTTTAAAACTAAATTCCAATTAAGAAAATGATCTAAAGATATTTTTAATGGCATTTGATTTTTAAAATTTGAATTTTATCGAATTTATTTTAATAATTAAAAAAAAAAGTACTTACTATTACGTTTTTAGTAATCAGTTTTCTCTACCTACCTCATACAAGGTATACTGTTAAAATAGGCTTATTTCACATGGTTGCCACTTCGGCAATGGATATTTTATTATAGAACCACTTTTGTTCTCGACACTTTGTGTACCGCCCTCAAATGATATTCTGGCTACATTCGTTATGTGGTAATTAGTTTGAGTACGGCCATTTGACCTCGTTTCCCTTTTATCTATGGACTCGCTGCCGGTACAATATGTGTAATGTGAAAACTCTATGGTCGCCGAGTGTTGCTTCATTAGATTAGATGCCACGAGCTTCGTATCAATTAAATATAGATGAAGTCATGCAATCCGTATGATATTAATCTTACTAATACATTTGTGTAAACTTTAGTGGCTGTTATATTATTTAAGTGTGTAATTACGTGTTGTTATAGCTGTCTGTTTGCCATAAATAAATAAATAAATGAATAAATAAATATATAAATTGTTATTTATTTAAGTATATATATAATAAATAAATAAATAACAAAATTGTAACTGCACATGAGAAATATTGAAGAAAAATTAATTTGAAATAAAAATTAATTAGACCCACAGAGTATAAAGATGATATTTATTCGTTAAAATTTAATAAGTTAATAATTTTTATCAGTTAATTTATATATTTGAAAATATTAGTTTAAAACATTGCTTTTGCAATTCATTAAAAATATCGATTAGAAATTATCATCATATCAGCGTTTAACTGTCCACTGCTGAACATAAGCCTCCCCTTGGAGGGTTTTGCCAGTAGTTGCCATGCTTGGCAGGCGGATAAGCAACCGCAGTTAGGTCCTTATAGGAGAGGCTTATGTTGCATTGTTGTTATGCATATATTTCTTTTATAATACAGGAGACAAACAAGCATGCGACTCACCTGATGGTAAGTGACTACCGCCGCTCATGATCACCCACAATACCTAAGGCATTGCAGATGTGCTGCCGACCTTTAAAATATGCTCTTTTCTTCGATATACAAAGAATACTTAGAATTTTATTAAACTACTAGCGGCCCCTCCCGGCGTCGCACGGGTGGACATTTTTACATATTGAAAAGTGGCTATTAAGGCTGCACACGCGACGGAAGCTTAAAAATGGAGTAACTTCTCCCGTTTTCCCAACATTTCCCTTCACTGCTCTGCTCCTATTGATCGTAGCGCGATGAAAAGTATACTATAACCTGCCCAGCAGTATGAAGAATAATTGTACCAAGTTTCGTTAAAATCCGTCAAATAGTTTTTGTTTCTAAAACGAACATACAGACAGACAGACAAAAATTTTACTGATTGCATTTTTGTCGTCAGTATCGATCACTAATCACCCCCCGATAGTTATTTTGGAAATATATTTCATGTACAGAATTGACATCTCTATAGATTTATTATAAGTATAGATAGATGAAAACTAAAAAGTTTAACTAGATGAACTTCCAAAAACGACACCAAATTCAAGTAAGATTAAATCGGCACAAGAAACACCGTACAAAATCGATTGACAGAAATCAAACACTTAATATCAAGTAAACAAAAAGTCGATGTCACTAGTTTTGTTGACAAAACTCACTCACAGATAGGTAGCGTGATTATTATGTACTAGCCTTTTCCCGCAGTGTAGCTCGCTTCGAACTATGTAGTTCGCATATGTCATTGCTATTGGAACTCTTCATGAATCCGGTCTTATACTATTTATTAATGATAATTACGTACCTAATACCGTCGGTTATTTTATAGAATTTTATATGTTATAAAACTTTTTTATTTATGAACCGATTGAAATAAAACAAACACTAAATGTTAAGTGAAGTTAACTAAAACGCATTAGTGAAAGCCGCGTTCAAATCGGTTTAGCCGTTTCTGAGATTAGCGTACACAAACGTACAGACAAATAGCTATACAAGCAAACAAACAGAAATTCTAAAAATCATTGTTTTGAGTTCTATTACATTCATAAAGCCCCCTATAACATTTTTTTTATATTTTCCATGTACAGACAGCAACCAGTTACGATTTTATTATATGCATTGATATTGATTGATTTATATAGGTTAGTAGTTTATGTCTATTTTGTTTGTTACGTCTTTAATCTTTAGAATCTCTAGTAAATAGTATCTACCTTAAACGACAAGCGATATTTTATTTGTTAATGATAATTTTAATTAACCATTAAATATCGTACACTACCCAACAATTGTAATTTTTTATGGTTCCAATAAATACATTTTCAATTTTGATTTTAATTTTTAATTAACTACTACATACGATTTTAACAATTATATTCTTGAAGGTCTAACTTAAAGTTTGCTGTATATTTCGTCATAGTCGTAGAATACTGACGGATCTGACGAATATTACATACAAAAGATCCGTCAGTATTCTACGACTATGACGATTTTATCTCATTCGACTACTCGATCCGACATTTCATCCGATTACTAATTTTATTCGATTACTAGCGGCCCGTCCAGCCGTCGCCGGGTGGACATTTTTACATTTTAAAAAGCGCCCATTAAGGCTGCACACGCGACGGAAGCTTAAAAATGGAGTAACTTCTCCCGTTTTCCCAACATTTCCCTTCACTGCTCTGCTCCTATTGATCGTAGCGTGATGAAAAGTATACTATAACCTGCCCAGGAGTATGGAGAATAATTGTATCAAGTTTCGTTAAAAACCGTCGCGTAGTTTTTGTTTCTATAACGAACATACAGACAGACAACAATTTTACTAATTGCATTTTTGGCACCAGTATCTATCACTAATCACCCCCTGATAGTAATTTTGGAAATATATTTCATGTACAGAATTGACCTCTCTACAGATTTATTATAAGTATAGATAGATTACTTTCATTCGATATACGCTTCTAGTAATAGCTAAAATCATCATCAATTAAATCATTCATTAGTAGTAGTTCAATTTTTTTTGTCGTTACTTGTTATCACCTATATTATTGATTAAAATATTATTATAATTTTATAGTAAGGGGATTTTTACTTAATGTTTCGTCTTTTTAATGGATCGCGACATAAAAATGGTTGAGAAGCAATGCTCTGTGCAAAAACGGTCTAGTCAAATTATTTTCCCACTTCTGTAACCACACGTGTTAAGTAGCGGACAAGTAAGACTTGTTAAGAATAAATATTTAATTTTAATTAATTAAATCATACTTATAAAGTAATTTATCGCGACTGATTATCAGCACATTGCATTTATTATTAGCAATGTTGCTGTGGGTTTCAATAGTATTTGTTTGT